CGGTCATCGTCTCGGCAGTGTATATTTCCCCCATGTCGACAATGTGGCGGCTCTCAAGGAACTACACTGGACTTTGTGCAAACTGGAAACCGCATATCCTGAGGCCGCATTTATTGTAGCTGGGGACCTTACTTAAGGAAATCTGAGGAAAATGCTACCTAAGTTTTATCAACACATCTCCTGTGCTACTCGCTCATCAAGCACTCTTGACCATTGCTAATCCCTCTTCCGGGACAGCCACAAGGCCCTCCCCCTCCCTCCCTTCGGCAAATCTGATAACGCCGCCATTTCGCTCCTCCCTTCCTATAGGCAGAAACTGGAACTAAACAGGAAGTACCCGTGGTAAGGACTGTTCAACGTTGGTCTGACCAATCAGAAGATTGTTTTGATTATGTGGACTGAGATATGTTCCGGGCTGCTTCTGAGAATAGTATTGACTTATACACTGACTCAGTGACTGAGTTCATCAGGAAGTGCATAGAAGATGTTGTTCCCACTGTGATGATTATAACTTATCCAAACCAAAAACCGTGGATAGATGGCAGCATTTGCGCAAAACTGAAATTGCGAACCACTGCATTTAACCATGGCAAGGTGACTGGAAACATGGACGTGTACAAACAGACCAGCTATGCCCTCCTAAAGAAATCAAACAGGCAAAACGACAGTACAGGGACGAAGTGGAGTCGCAATTCAACGGCTCAATATTTACATTTACATTTTAGTCATTTAGCAGACGCTCTTATCCAGAGCGACTTACAGTTAGTGAGTGCATACATTTTTCATACTGGCCCCCCGTACAGTATGTGGCAGGGACTCCAGACAATCACAGATTGTAAAGGGAAAGCCAGCACGTCGCAGACACAGACCCCTTGTTCCCGGACAAGCTAAACACCTTCTTTGCCAGCTTCAAGGAAACACAGTGCCGGAGACGTGGGCCACCGCCACTCACAAGGATTTGGAGGCTAATTAAGGATCACATCATCAGATCATTTATTCTGGTATTGCCCATATGTAGCTTGATTCTGGTTACAGGTTCAGGAATGGTTTTAAAAAAATCACAACATTCACTTAAAATTAACCTTCCAAATAGCAGTGTTGGGCGATTTGGAAAGCCATATTCAATCAATCAACAATATAATAATACTTGTAGGAAAGGTTTTCATCTTTGGCTCACAATCTATGGATAATTTGCGTTTAGAAAAGTTCAGAATGTCTGTAAAACATCACAGCACAATTGAAAAATATATGGCACATGGAAACCAAACTTGGGTGGTCTATGGTGATAGGTGGAATGGGCTGAAAGAGCCTGGGGGGGGGGGGGGGGGGTTAAAGAGCTTATGTTTGGTAATGTATTATTGTTATCTGATTGCTGTATATAAAAGTGCCATGTATGTAAAATGTATGTATACAGTACCAGTCAAAAGTTTGGACACACCTACTCATTCCAGGGGTTTTCTTAATTTTTACTATTTTCTACATTGTAGAATAATAGTGAAGACATCAACACTATGAAATAACACGAATGTAATCATGTAGTAACCAAAAAAGTGTTAAACAAATCAAAATATATTTTCGATTCTTCAAATAGCCACCCTTTGCCTTGATGACAGCTTTGCACACTCTTGGCATTCTCTCAACCAGCTTCATGAGGTAGTCACCTGGAATGCATTTCAATTAACAGGTGTGCCTTCTTAAAAGTTAATTTGTGACATTTCTTTCCTTAATGGATTTGAGCCAATCAGTTGTGTTGTGACAAGGTCAGGGTGGTATACAGAAGATAGCACTATTTGGTAAAAGACCAAGTCCCTATTATGGCAAGAACAGCTCAAATAAGCAAAGAGAAACAACAGTCCATCATTACTTTAAGACATGTAGGGCAGTCAATACGGAAAATGTCAAGTTTCTTCAAGTGCAGTCGCAAAAACCATCAAGCGCCATGATGAAACTGGCTCACATGATTACATTTGTGTTAGTTCATAGTATTGATTTCTTCACTATTATTCTACAATGTAGAAAATGGTACAAAATAAAGGAAACCCCTGGAATGACTAGGTGTTTCCAAACTTTTTACTGGTACTGTATGTAGCAGAAAAGCTGTAAAAACCTAAAAAGATATGTGTCCTCCGAAGAGTGGGGGTGGTGAATGGGTAAAAAAAAAATAAGAACAAAAAATTATTAAAGATCATATCACCTCGACCTTACCCGACACCCTAGACCCACTATAATTTGCATACTGCCCCACGGATTACGCAATCGCCATCGCACTGCACACTGCCCTATCACATCTGGACAAGGGGAATACCTATGTAAGAATGCTGTTCATCGACTACAGCTCAGCCTTCAACACCATAGTGCTCATCACTAAGCTCGGGGCCCTGGGTCTGAACCCCGCCCTGTGCAACTGGGTCCTGGACTTCCGGATGGGCCAACCCCAGGTGGTGAATGTAGGCAACAACACCTCCACTACGCTGATCCTCAACACGGGGGGCCACAAGGGTGCGTAGCATCTTCAAAACTGGATGTAGCTTGGGACGCGGGACACATGCTGCTAGCAGGTACAGTCATTGGGCCATAACTTGTCTCGCACGCTATCACTATGGAATGCCCTTAGATCTCGTCTTAGTAAAAGCTTTTTTTCAGTTCCTAATAGGGGAGGCACAGTTTACACTCCCTTACATATTTATTTAGACAGTGAAGCAAACATTTTTTAATTTGGTTCTATACTCCAGCATTTTGGATTTGAGATCAAATGTTTCATATAATGATCGACAGTACACAATGTCACCTTTTTATTTGAGGGTATTTTCATACACATCTGTTTTACTGTTTCTAAATGAAAGTACTTATGTATCTAGTCCCCCCATTTTTCATAAGTATTTGGGACAAATTCACTTATAGTGTATTAAAGTTTGTGGCTCTACAAACTTGTTGGATGCATTTGCAGTTTGTTTTGGTTGTGTTTCGGATTATGTTTTGCCCAATGGGAACGGAATGATGAATAAATAATGTATTGTGTCATTTTGGAGTCACTTTTATTGTTAATAACAATATGTTTGTGAACACTTCTACGTTAATGTGGATCCGACCATGATTATGGATAATCATGAAAGTATTGTGAATAATGATGAGTGAGAAAGTTACCCAGGAACAAAGATCATAGCCCCCCAAAAAATATTTATAAGATATGTGACTCACCACCTGGATTTGGTCTTATGTAGCAAAATTTGAAATGCTGTTTTTTACATTGGATAAAAGTAGAGACTGAGAGCTATAAAATGTTATATCATACACTGCATTTTTGAGGAACAATGGGAAAGTAATTCTGCTTTGAAAGTTGATAAACTTGTAAACTCACTTTTGAGAAAATGGCCTTTGAATGTTTTTGTATCTACTATAGTGAAGAGCTCTTCTTTGTCGACACTCATTCTGCATCGTTCACACCCTCTTAAGCTTTAGCCCCACCCATCTCGTTTCGCTCTCGGAGCGGTCAGAGCGCACATTTGACGCTCTGGCCTATGATTTGTTTACCTCTGGATAACATGAAAACAGCCTAACCAGCTCTGCTGGCAACAATTTCATTATGCTTTTTTACCGACGTTTTCTGACACCGGCCATATTCAACAGGTCACATATTTGTATATGTGAATTCATAACTGGTTTTAATCATATTGTGGGTAATTTAAATACTTTTGAGTGGCTTTGTTATTGTGTATCACTTTCTATTTGCAATATTTTGTATTCCATTATATTGTGAAAGGTATTTATCTAATTGAAAGTATTTTGTATTCCATTATATTGTGAAAGGTATTTATCTAATTGAAAGTAATTTTATATGCCTAATTCCTATTAATTCATTTATTTAATCTATTTATATTTCAACATTGGTGCCTTATTCTACTATAATGTATTAGCTATGGGACTACGTCTCTTTTAGATTGTATTGTTATCATACATTGAGATTGAAAGCAGAGCTGTTTCCATCTGAACAAGAAGAGGCATAGTTTATGTATGATGTCCAGTCCAACTGAAGTCCCCTTTCCTTACCCCCCTGTGAACCAGATTGAATAAAACCAAACCTCAGACCCTCAGCAGGATTAATCTTAGATTGAATAAAGCCAAACCTCAGACCCTCAGCAGGATTCATCTTTTAAGCGCCAGAACACAACACAAGCAAGCATACAATCACACACCTAGGCGCAGCAAACAGGCTTCTTTGAATCTGTGTGTGTCTACTCACATGATGTATTTGACATGGCACTTCCAAATGTAGGAGCTTTTTTAGCCAAATCGGGTTACTACAATTGGCAAAATAATTTTTGGCTTCAGCAGGTTTACAATTCAATAGGCTATGATTACCAAAACAAAATTGAGCTTGGTCACGTCTCCCTCTATGCAATTTGTATGCACGAGTTATCTCGTGGGCGGGAACTGCTCTACCCTCGCGCTGAAGTACAGACCCGTTTCTGTGTTTGCAACATTGCTGCACGAGGGGATTGCGCAAGTTAGTGGAGGAACGCCATTTACATGTTGCTTTTGAGTGCATTTCACACTACCTTTTCAATATAATTGGATTTTAAGGCTTTTATGAATGTCCTGCTTAATATAATATGTGTGTCATCATCACAAATCAACTGCATTATACTTAAAAAACACTTCAACTTCAACCAGTAAAATGGCTATTTGGCAAGCTTTTGCTACAGCCTATGTCAATGAGCGTTCTAGCTAACAAGCGTTCTAGCTAACAATTGCAGCATCCAAAATAGTTATTTTGCAAAGATTACAACCAAATATAATCAAAGCAACTGTTCAAGCAAGAATCAAAACGTCATTGTAAGCGTATGAGAACCCCCAAACGTTATTTTGTTTAGAAGTAATAAAAACGTAAATCTAGGCTATGTTGAAGGGGCGCAGATGGCGATGGCTTTCTTACTGCAGCCAAGAGTCGTGCACATCTGTGCGTGATGTCAGTGTGTGGTGTACTGGAAAGGGGTCTATCCTGTGGGTAATGCCCCGTTACTAATGCAATAAAGCTCCTGGAAGCGATCCAGGCACAATGCGTGGATCATTTTTATCTGACAGACCCACAACTACTTTCTCCTCCACTCTCGCGCTCTGTCATTACCAGCCAACTGCTGCCTGTCTGTAAGTAGACCTTTTGGGACTTCATATATTTGATTGATTGTTCTTTATTGTGTACAGTACAGAGACATTTCTCTCATTCAGTCAGATTGTTGCAGAATGAGTGAAGAGAAAGCACAAGCAATAGAGGAGAGTGGGAGATCTTGTATTTGTTTATGGTAAGTTTTAAAATGGAATTAGGACAATAATTATTAGAGAAATAATACCTCCATAGAATACAATGCAAACCTGCCTTCTTAATGCATGTTGTTTTAATAACACTGAATGCAATTAAATACTGAATACAATATGATTTTTAGTGAGTTGATACATATCTTCAGATCATACATAAAAACATTTTCCACACTTTTATCCCTTAATACATTAATGTTATTCATGAAATACTGTATGTAACGTGTTAGACTTAAATATGATATGCATTTAGTTGTCAAATGTTTTATTGTCTGAAATATAATATAAACCAAATAAGTCATAAAAGTTGAATATGAGTTCTGGTCAAGCATTGGGTCACTGGATTTAGGTTGTCTAGGTGTCAAGAATGTGACATATTGCAACTTCCAAGAGTCACCTGTTTTACTTGAGAACTCTCTCTCTCCTCTCTCTCTCTCATTGAACCTAGTCCATTGTTAAAGTGTACACATTGATTGCAAAATGGCATATTGCATCCCTCAACTGTATGTCCTTAGCATAGTGTGTGCTGTGCTGCATGGCACAATGTGTGATGAAAAGTCACTGACTCAATTCCCTAGAGTTTTAAAATGTTGTGCCCAGCAGCAAGTTCCCTTCCCTGGAAGGGTTCAGTGAATTTCCAGTCACACAGATGGATGGAGAATAACTAACTGGGATAATCATTTAATTAATTTATTTATTATTTTGTCAGGAGTTGCCTGTCTTTGTGTAACCAGCATCCCATCATGGTGGCGTTCAAAGGAATCTGGACCAAAGACTTCTGGAGAGCTGTGTCAGCCGAGTACCTAGCCACCCTGATCTTCATCCTCCTCAGCCTGGGCTCCACCATCAACTGGGCAGCCGAGTCGGACAACCCTCCCCCCGCAGACCTGGTCCTCATCTCGCTGTGCTTTGGCCTGGCCATCGCCACCATGGTGCAGTGCTTTGGACACATCAGTGGCAGTCACATCAACCCAGCGGTCACAGCGGCCATGGTGGTGACCAGGAAGCTGAGCCTGGCCAAGGGTGTCTTCTACCTGGCTGCCCAGTGCCTGGGGGCGATCACTGGGGCAGGGCTCCTCTACCTCGTGACACCAGTGTCTGTCAGAGGGGGCCTTGGAGTGACTATGGTAAGACATATAGTTGATCCTTAAAATCAGAGAATCTAGTTTATAGCCACACAAGTATAGCAACAGTCAGAGTTGACACTATGGATAAGATAGTATTTGAAAATCTATTTTTGCTATTTTGGGACTATTCCATCAGGCAAGCTCAATCAAGCACAGCTAAAGTCGTTTATAAAAAGAAACGATTTGAACCCAGGTCTGGTATGGATTGATGTCATGAAAAGTATTGTTGATTCACAGAGGAAGACATACTGACTGTTGCTAACTCTTACTCTTGTTTCCCAGGTGAACCCAAAGCTCAACGTGGGCCAAGGCCTGTTGGTGGAGCTCCTGATCACCTTCGAGCTGGTCTTCACCGTGTTCGCCACCTGCGACCCCAAACGCTCTGACCTTAACAGCTCGGCTGGGCTCGCCATTGGACTCGCTGTAGCCATCGGCCATCTGTTCGCAGTGAGTGGGGTTCTATCTCTAACTTGAGTTAGGTAAACTAGAGGACAGGCCACATATTGTAGTGGTTAGAGCACTAGGATTATAGTGAACCTGAAGGCCTCAACAGTCAGACAGTATATTTAATTCAATATATCCTATGGAAGAAAATGTATACAGTGCATTGATGTAGATTGGTGATGTAGTTTGTTCTTTAATCATCATAATGGTAGAATAGTACAATATAGTACATTAGTTCCCAGGACATCACAGTTAGTTTAGAGCTCACGTCCTCATTGGGTACCGCTGTTCCTCCTCCATGGCAACCAACTCTCTACAGTCCCCTCATGTTAACATCTCTATGCCATGCTTTGTGTTCTAGATCCCATACACAGGAGCCAGTATGAACCCCGCTCGCTCCTTTGGGCCTGCAGTCGCCACCATGAACTTTGAAAACCACTGGGTAAGATAGAAACTGCTGCCGCCTTCTCACCCTCAAAGGGCTATACTCCCACACAGTTGTCGGTGAAGGGTGAATATCTAAGCCATGTTGTCCATATCTAAGCCATTGGTGGCTATTTGCCAATATAAGGGACACATCTGTTTGATGTGTTGAAACCATATCTCAATGAATTCAGACCTGCCATGTTGTGAAGCATTATTGATCATACACTGAGTGTACTAAACACTCTTTCTATGACAGACTGACCAGGTGAATCCAGCTGAAAGCTATGATCCCTTATTGATGTCACCTGTTAAATCCACTTCAAATCAGTGTAGATGAAGGGGAGGAGACAGGTTAAAGAAGGATTTTTAAGCCTTGAGACATGGATTGTGTATGTGTGCCATTCAGAGGGTGAATGGGCAAGACAATAAATTGAAGTTTCCTTTGAACGGGGTATGGTGTTAGGTGCCAGATGCACCGGTTTGAGTGTGTCAAGCACTGCAACACTGCTGGGTTTCTCATGCTCAACAGTTTCCCGTGTGTATCAAGAATGGTCTACCAGCCAAAGGACATTCAGCCAACTTGACACAACTGTGGGAAGCATTGGAGTCAACATGGGCCAGCATCCCTGTGGAACGCATTCGACACCATGTAGTCCAAGCCTTGATGAATTGAGGCTGTTCTGAGGGCAAAAGGTGGTGCAACTCAATATTAGGAAGGTGTTCCTAATGTTTTATACACTCAGTGTATATCATTCATTATACAGTTGAATAATGAATAGTAAACTCATTGCTTAAAATATCGGGTCAGATATGTGTTTAGATGTGATTTTGTGATAAGTGTTCAGGTTGTCACTGTTATTCAGTAACTAACATTGTTGATATCATTAATAGTGGGTGGCTACAGCTACAGGGCTATGGACATATTGAAACCTAATAAGGTCACAGTGCAATTATTGCATATCACCATGCCAATGCAGCTGAAGGATCCCATCTAGTGTCGTCCAATGACATCTTTACCCCCCACAGAGGACGGGAGTGCTACAAAGATTAAAACGGAAAGGAAATACTCACCTGAAGCATGCGTATTTAATAGGTTATATAACCCTCGCTACTAGGTAGATGCATGCATTGTAGCTTGCTATTGCATAATAAAAGGAACAGCACAGACCAGTTATAGACAGGTGTTAATGGACTGTACACAGCATGTGCTTCTTTAATTCAGTATCCAGGCCAATCATTCTCACGGAGCTGTTCATAGTTTTTACTGACTCAGTATGGCACAGTGGAACTGCATGGTGTGTGTGTTTGTATATTGGGGGGGGGGGGGGGGGGGTCTGGGTCTTGGATGTAATTAGGATAGGTTTTCTCACTGAGAATGGTGTCATTATCTGGCGGGTGTTCGCTCTCTCTTGGTAACAAATGTTTGACTTGGCAGAACCACTGAGGATGCCCATAAACAATGACTGGTGCCCCTTTACAGACATGACAAGACATGACATCTAGTCTAATAATGCATGGCAGCTCTGTCAGAATGGGGTATCCTCTGCTGTGGTATTAGGTTCATATTTGTCTGAACTGGGTTTTACTTTACCTGTCTTGCAGGTGTACTGGGTTGGTCCAATCCTGGGTGGCATCATAGCGGCTGCCCTCTATGAATACCTGTTCTGCCCGGACCCTGAGCTGAAGAAGATGCTCCGGGACTTCTTCCAGAAGGATCCGGCGTCGACCAAGTACAGGGAGGTGGAGGGCAGCGTGTACCAGGGGGAACCAGATGACCTGATCACCAATCCAGGCTCCATCCACCACATCGACCTGGAGAAGGGGGAAAATAAGGATCCTTTCCGGGACTCGACGGGCGAGGTGCTGTCATCCGTATGACTACCACAGGCACTGGAGAGGGAGACCAACCTGTAGAGCAGGGTGAGATCCAGAGAGAGACACTTTCAGTCTAGGTCCTCCACCACTGCAGCCCCTTACTCCAAGCCCCCCCATGCCTTAACCCACACAGACTCACTTCTCAGGCAGAATATGATTGCTGCATGTCCTCTCAATGCAGGTGTATTATTGTATATGGAGGTGAGCCTCCCTCAACATTTGTGAACTAACTGGATAATATAACTTTGCACACTGCTCCCACCAATTACCCATATCATATGACATCTATTGATCTCTGCAATCTTGTCCCATCATCTTCTGGACCAGATGTGTTTGCTTGTGGCACTCTACTACACTGCAGGGTGATAACAATACACTATACTTCAGGGATTTCTGTCAGGGAAAAATGTCCAGGTCAACCATTTACAATGGGTCATCACACTGAAATTGGAAACTGGAGAGAAAACGTCAGGCTTATTCTTTTTGGATTAGTGTCACAAATTGTATAAGATATATTATTTACATTTTAGTCATGTAGCAGATGCTCTTATCCAGAGCGACTTACAGTTAGTGAGTGCATACATTTTCGTACTGGCCCCCGTGGGAATCGAACCCACAACCCTGGCGTTGCAAGCGCCATGCTATACCAACTGAGCTACACGGGGGACATATGGTTGTTAAGCACATTAGAAAACCAATGCTATGAAGGACAAGTTCTATTGGACATTTAAAATCTTCAGCCCACTCCTATATTGTTCGTATTTATTCTGCATTCTCAGTGCACATTGGTCAGGGAAGAAAACAATTAAGCTTTACCTATAACATATTTTTATTTTAAGTGCATAGCAACAGATCATAGACAAACCATCAGATAGCAGTTATAGATTTGCCTGGCTACCTAGACTCCTTGCTCTGACCAAATGCTACACCACACCCACGGACATTAGTTTCTTCTCTAATTGGTCCAGAAACCGATGGGTTGGGCCAGAGCCAGAACACACGTGGGTAAAGCAGCAGTTCAGCAGTCTCAGACTAAAGTATGTAGCAAACGACAGAGCAGTGGAAGAATTTTGTGTGAGTCGTCAGGCTAGATTTTCATAGCTATAATCAGAAAAGATAATAATCTCTGGATACATTTGGAATGATCACATTAATATACAATACATGACCAAAGGTATGTGGACACCTGCTTGTCGAACATCTCATTCCAAAATCATGGGCATTAATATGGAATTGGTCCCCCCTTTGCTGCTATAACAGCATCCACTCTTCTGGGAAGACTTTCCACTAGATGTTGGAGCGTTGCTGCGGGGACTTCCATTCAGCCACAAGAGCATTAGTGAGGTTGGGCACTGATGTTGGGCGATTTGGCCTGGCTCGCAGTTGGCCAGATGGTGAAGCATCATTCATCACTTCAGAGAACGCGTTTCCACTGCTCCAGAGTCCAATGGCGGCAAACATTACACCACTCCAGCCGACGCTTGGCATTGTGCATGGTGATCTTAGGCTTGTGTGCGGCTGCTCGGCCATGGAAATCCATTTCATGAAGCTCCCGACGAACAGTTCTTGTGCTGACATTGCTTCCAGAGGCAGTTTGGAACTCAGTATCGAGTGTTGCAACCGAGGACAGACGATATTTACGCGCTTCAGCACTCTGCTGTCCCGTTCTGTGAGCTTGTGTGGCCTACCACTTCGTGACGGTGCCACATTGAAAGTCACTGAGCTCTTCAGTAAGGCCATTCTACTGCCTATATTTGTCTATGGAGATTGCATGGCTGTGTGCTCAATTTTATACACCTGTCAGCAACGGGTGTGGCTGAAATAGCCGAATCCACTAATTAGAAGGGGTGTCCACATACTTTTTTATACATAGTGTATCATTGACTGTATTTTCATACTGAAATTATTATTGTACTAACTTATTTATGAAATGGATCTGCCTGCTGTATATTGCTTGGTCTTGAGAACCAAGGACCCATGAGGGAAAAGCTTGCCTCCATACCCACCACTCTGGATTTGAGTATTGCATAGATTTGAATGTTAGGCTTTCTTTCATACTTGAAAACTGTACCTTTATGCAGTTTCTGTGTTGATTTAGAATTTCATGAAATAAATTGTTATTTCCAAGTCTTTAGTGTAAACAATTTCGTGATTATGGTGTACATGCATGCCTTTGTTTGGCTTCTGTTGGTACCTCACAAAACACAAACCATAACTATATCATATACCAAATAGATACAAAAGTGTTTTTCTGTCTCTGACATAACGCACTTCTCATAATACAGCTTTTAATAAAAGTTTGAGTTTAAGGCCAGAACCTGAGCAGAGAATTGCTCCTGAAGAGTTGTATCATCTCACTGTAGAGGGCAGTAGCAGTTTACAGTCTCCGCCATGATGGATAGCCTCATCTCCCTCTAGAAAGTGTCTCCTCATAGCCAGATGGATGGGGATGATGTGTGTTCTTTCTGAGACTATAGGTTCATATAATCTCATTCCATCAGTGGAACACCACTGGAAACGCTGGGGCACTTTGTTATATAGAATAGATGTGATCTGTCACAATCTCACTTTATGTCCTTTGAAGAAATAACAGGGACAATTTCATGTGGAGAGTAGCCAAGCCGACTGCATATACTGCTAGGTGATAAAAAAAAAACTAAAACTGGTTGACTTAGGTTGACTGATTGTGCCACTGTTAATACAAAATGTAAAGCTAGGGAATTAAACTCTCAAATGTACAGTGCAATAGAACCCATATTATACTAAGGATTAAATCATATACCATTTTGTTTTTTCTCCCCGTACCTCCCTCTCCAACTCTGGGCCTTCTGGGCACCATTGTTTTGTGGGGAAAATAAGGTATGGTTTCATCAATATCTGCCATTAGACTGTTGACCAGAGGAGGGCAGTCACGAGCCTTACAATAAACTGTCAGGCCTGAGGAGGTGAGGGAGACAAGGCAACTTGATTCCAATGCCTGTTTATGAACCGATTCCTGTTGAAAATTGTCATGTTCCAGCAAAAAAAAGCAGAAGATAACATAAATTCCCAACCTAACATTTATACAACTACCATAAGTGGCCTCATGACATTACAGAAGGTAATTTACTCTGTAGCTGATTTGCAAGCAGGCTGGGCAGTAGGTCATAGTACTACAACCCTCCACTCTTCTCCCCAACCTATGGGCATCCCTCCAAGGCCTGAGTAAAGGCCACAGGCCAACACTCTCTCAGCGCGCCCAATATCATCTTCATGGCCCAAATAAATTAGCACTTAAATCTGAGGGCAACCATTAACTATTTCCTCATGGAATAGGGTACAGGGAGAGCTCTGTCTGCCCCAAGTACTAATTTACAGACCTGGCTCATCATAGGACCAGGCTGAAGGAAGGGGAGGGGACAGCACAGGTGGATAACCGCCCAAATTGTGAAGCTGATGCTTGTGTAATTTAATGAGATTTATTTGTGTTCAACCTTAACTGATATGAATAGATTCCACTGCAAGGTTTTGTATTCAATCACCTTTCCACATAAGTGAATAGTTAGAACTATCTTGAGTATTCCTTCTCCTTCCTCTGCTGCATTTGATGTTCCAGACCGTAACACCAAGCTTGCTCCAGTTACCAACAGTTGCTCTGGACCAACTACACTATACAAAAATATAAAACGCAGCATTCAACAATTTCAACGATTTTTACTGAGTTACAGTTCATATAAGGAAACCATTCAATTGAAATAAATTCATTAGGCCCTAACCTATAGATTTCACGACTGGGAATACAGATATGCATCTGTTGGTCACAGATACCTTTAAAAAAAGATAGGGGACGTGGATCAGAAACCCAGTCAGTATCTGGTGACCACCATCTGCCTCATGCAGCGTGACATCTCCTTCACATAGAGTTGATCAGGCTGTTGATTGTAGCCTGTGGAATGTGAGGTGATGGCTGCGGATGAATGACATGACAATGGGCCTCAGGATCTCGTCACAGTATCACTGTGCATTCAAATTGCCATCGATAAAATGCAATTGTGTTCGTTGTCCGTAGCTTATGCTTGCCCATACCATAACCATGGGGCACTCTGTTCACAAAGTTGACATCAGCAAACCACTCGCCCACACAACGCCATCTGCCCGGTACAGTTGAAACCGGGATTAATCCGTGAAGAGCACACTTTTCCAGCATGTCAGTGGCCATCAAAGGTGAGCATTTTCCCACTGAAGTCGGTTACGACGCCAAACTGCAGTCAGGTCAAGACCCTGGTGAGGATGACGAGCACGCAGATGAGCTTCCCTGAGACGGTTTCTGACAGTTTGTGCAGAAATTATTGAGTTGTGCAAACCCACAGTTTCATCAGCTGTCCAGGTGGCTGGTCTCAGACGATCCCGCAGGTGAAGAAGCCGGATGTGGAGGTCCTGATCTGGCGTAGTTACATGTGGTCTGCGGTTGTGAGGCCGGTTGGATGTACTGCCAAATTCTCTAAAACGACATTGGAGGCGGTTTATGGTGGAGAAATGAACATTAAATTATCTGGCAACAGCTCTGGTGGACATTCCTGCAGTCAGCATGCCAATTGCACGCTCCCTCAAAACTTGAGACATCTGTGGCATTGTGTTGTGTGACAAAACTAAACATTTTAGAGTGGCCTTTTATTGTCCCCAGCACAAGGTGCACCTGTGTAATAATCATGCTGTTTAATCAGCTTCTTGATATGCCACACCTGTCAGGTGGATGGATTATCTTGGCAAAGGAGAAATGCTCACTAACAGGGTTGTAAACGAATTTGTGCATACATAGAGAGAAATATGATTTTTGTGAATATTGAATATCTCTGGAATCTTTTATTTCAGCAAATGAAACATGAGACCAACACTTTACATATTGAGTTTATATTTTTGTTCAGTATAAATATAAAGTGACATTGAATAATGGGTTTGTGCTACTTCTACTCAACTGCTCAGGTGATGAAATGCCTAATGAGCCACCAGCAATATTTCATTTAAGATTATGGTTCTTCTAAAAAAACATATGTTAGGCTAAATTACTTTATTTATTTTATGTTGATGCCTATTTGAGGTGGCAAGGGTGGCCTGGACAAGGCTTTTATCAACTTTATTTGATTATAAGGCTGATGGGCATTGTTAATATACAATAAACAACAAAGTCCGAAATATAACGTAAACATTGAACAAAAGCACATTTGTGAAAATGCACAAAAACATGTTTGTCCTACAGTATACCCGACTGAAAGAGAGGTTTATTTGTGCTATACAGAACCAATAAACCACATCATGCATATTATACAAAAGGAAAGGCATTATCTCAGGCATTATCTTTAATTCATTTCCTCATCTAACATTCCTCACATTTACTGTATGTAGAATTTTCAAAAGTTAAAGCTTCTGATGCAAAATGCCTCTCAGCAGCTGATACAACTTAGGGGGGCACCAAGATAAAACACACACCTTAAAGATCATTAGCAATTAATATTTGGGGATTCATGAAGAAAAACAGCGTTAAACACTTGTTTAATAATTCATACTATAAACAAGAGTCTCCCACTTCCTTAATAATTTAGACGTAAGCTAATGTTGATTTATTCAGGAAGGTCTCCGCCACCAGCGCTGCCTGGAGTTCCCAAATTTGAATTAAAGTAGGACAGTAGCAGGCGAGTCTGTAATAACATTTGTATAATTGTATTATTGCTCTGGGCTCAGTTCATTT